GCGGAGCCGGCGGAGGCCGAGGTGGCGGAGGTCGACCCGGCGTGGTCTGACTCTGCCGACGAGACCTTCGATGAGGACGAAATCCCGGACGACCCATTTGGACGACCGGTCGTTGTTGCAGATGTTCGAGTACCCCCCGGAAATAACCAGGTGAGCATCATACCAAAAGATGAAAAAATGTTTTCTTATTGTAATTTCCATATCTCTTTTTTATAGGTCGTACTGAAGCTTGAAAAGCAGCGGCCCATGCTAGACGATGAAATGTGTTATGCCCGGACGCTTCTTGACCTGGGTCAGTATCTATCTGTGGCCCTCGATCGTGTCATCGATGCCCTACTCTTCAAGCATGCCCCGGAAACGCCAGTGCTCCTCAGTGGAAGGTTTGACTTTGAGCCGATGCGCCCCGAAGTGCTTGAGCAAGTAGCCATAATGCTCAAGGACTTTTCTTTAATGGTGTCATTAGATGTGACAGGCACTGGTTATTTGACACCATATTCAATCCGCTTTTCGGACGTAATGATTTTGGAGAGTAACACTCAATGCAGGACCCCCCATTTTGAAGTCGGGCTCTTTAGGGCCCTTGACTATTTTTACAATTTAGCAAGTTTTGAGCTCACCCCGCTTTTTGTAAATGGCCTCGTTAGGGGCATCCGGGAGGCGTTTTTCCCCCCATACCTTCCACGGTCGTTGTGGTAGTGGCTTCCCCAGAGTCCGAAACCTGGTTATGGACTTCGAATCCACATTGTAATTCCCAATGCTTGTGTTGTATTTTTTAATCTTTTCCGATGCCGAATAAACTCATTGGTAATTTACAAAGATTTATTTACATTACACTAATAGAGAGCAATACAGAGAGATAGATTTACACATTAAAGAGTGAGAGATAGAGAGAGAAAGAAGCTTTTACAAATTCTCCACCTTGTTGCTTTTTGCCTTGAATTTCTGAGCCGTATCTCGTGTTGTGATCTTTATTTATTTTTTCATGCTTTTCGGTTTCAAAGTACCACATTTGGGTTAATAAATATAATATTCCACTCAAATCATCTTCTTTTTTTGGGTGAAACAGCTTTGTATTTTTGCATAATATTAAGCCAGCGCTGTTGGCTAAAAATACGCCCCACCAAAATTTAATAAAAATCTTTGGTAGCCCTGTTGTATAATTTTTTTGTATGCGGTATAAAGGTTGGTCGCGAAAATTGCAAAATGATGTCGTGTCTCTACCGTATTGGGTACGGTAGACAGGCCTTTTTAAAAAAAATCTAATTCCTTTGAACATCCTACTTTTTCGTGTTTATTTTTAAGTGCTGGTTCACTAGCGGGGGGCCTTATATTACGCCCGATGCAATCAGAAATAAGTATTTGTTTTATGGTTTTTTAGTAGTCCCGGGTTAGCGAAAATGTCTTCTTCATAAACAACGTTTTAGAAAATTTAAAATTTACGTTTTTGATACATTTTTAACCAACGAGAAACTTCCACATTTCGACATTAGGACATTTCAGCATTCTGAAAATTGGGCATTATGAATTTCGACCGGATTCAATTCTGAGATACTGATTCTCGACATTACGGATTTCGACACGATGATTTTCGGGATTATATTCTTCGAAATTTTGAAATTACCCCCCGTCCGTTCAGGTAAAAGCAAAGGGAGAAATCACGTGCAAGATGAAGCCAAAAATCTGGGTCGGCATTTTCCTGATCGCCATGATCGTGTTGCTCGCCGCAGCGGAAGTGGAAAACGAGCTAATCGAGAGGCCAGAGTACCATGTTCGCGTCGTCAGAAGATCAAAAGGGCCCAGAGGCCCAAAGAAGAGTGGACACAAGGGGGCAAGAAAAGGCAAAAAATTGAAGAGCGCCGGAGGGAACCCTGTGGCGCCCGGGAAAAAGCCGTCAAAAGACCAGAAGCGAGCAAAAAGTCAGTATTTTTATGCTTAATTGTTAATTAACAAGGGGACGTTTCTGATTGTCGTGTGGACTTCGGAATGGGATCAAGCCCATCTTGTGAAGAATTCTGCATTGCAGCATTTTTTGGATTCCGAATATGGATACCGTTTTTGCGGAATAGAATTTTCGATAATTATGAAGGATTTAACCCTAAATTCTGAATAAGTTTAGAAAAAACCACATCCATAGATCCTGTTTAGAACAAAATTATCTATGAAATGCACCATTCTAGATAGAAGTTCGGAAAAGTTGTAAAATTGTAAACATTTTATGCGCATAAATTTTATCAAATTTCGATTGAAGTCACTTATTTGATAGAGAATTTTGTTTTGAAAAGTTCCGCGCGCTTTCTAAAGCCGATCACCAACAATTTATGCTTCGAGGTATTTCTAAACGACTTTTTACCATTACTGAACGTAAAAAACTTTACAAATTTTGCTTAAAAAAGCAAAAATAGAGGTCCCTCGACTTTTACTTTTTAGATAGTTTTTTTTACTTGAAATATAGTTATATTTTGCGAAACAAACTAATAAAAGACCCCTTATATCCGGATAAGGCATTTCTAAGCGTGTGTAAAATATTTTGCTTGCCGCCCCCCCGATAAGGCGAAAGAACCCTTTTCTAATTTCCATTCGATGCAGCGCCAAAAATAGATCAATATTTTTAATTGCACCTAAAGATATTTTGATATCTCACGATCCGCGCGCTATAAAATCCGTTGTTTTTCAATGTTGCTTATTTCCAGCCGCGCTAAACGTCATCGAGAACGCAGCACTGGGGCTGAAGAAGATGGGGCTGGGCAGGGTATCCGACGCCGCCGGCAGTTTCCTGAAGGCATTTAGCTCGGTGAAGGAGCACCTTGAGGTCGTCATGCCCCCGATTTTCAAAGTGGCAAGATTTTTGGGCAAAGGCGTCGCATGGCTGATAAAGGTAAGTGCACTTTTTTTTTGTTATTTGAGGGTCTGAAAAGGGTATGAAAAAGATGTGAGATCTGAAAAGGAACTCTTATTTTTATGCTCTACTTTTAGTCAGGGTGCGGATTTTAGAGACGGCCCTAACTTTGGAAAATCACGCTGATCCCGAATCTGTTTTCCAAATTTTCAAAAGCTACAACGGTTTTCCGTACAAATTAGTTTTGTTACAAATTGTGTTTTAACCCCGCGATAAAACTTGTTCCTGAATTTAAGCTACAGATTTGTTCATGAGATAGCTTGTTCGAATGAGCGTATTTTTCTTCCCTACAATATGGTCCATTTTTATTTGAAAAGGATTCTACAAGTATTTTAGTAGAATAGTTTTAACAAAAACTAACTAGTTCGTAACAAAAATGGCTGTAATTTTTGAAATCGTAGTCCTCAGCAAATTCGGAAAAAAGATTCGGAATCAGCGAAAAATTCTGCAGAAGAGATGCTTGGTTACAAAAGGCAGCCTATGTCAAAACGCTTTACAGGGAACAAAAACACTTTACTATGAGACAGTCTGGTTTTGCAGTTTTTGAAAACAGATTTGAACGAAGCGCAAAATTCTGACAAGATAGGCATGGTTGCGACGCTGCAATACGGCTAAAAACTTTTCCCTTCTAGTCCAAAATCAACCGGCCGAACCGCCGCACCGACGACCGGGACGAAGACGGGCCGTCCACCGATCCCGAGGAGCCCGTGGATCCCGAGGATGAGCAGGATCTGACGGATTACGACGATGACTATCCGGTGCTGTACCAGGATAACGGGCAGGCGTACGAGGCCCTAAGAAGGGTCATCGACTCCGAGGTCGAAATCCTGGGAGCTGCAACCCTGAAGGCGTACCAAGCGATCAAGCTGAGCATCCGGGCCATGGATTATGAGTCGGTAGGCGGAGGATACTGTTTTTTTTTTTGGGAAAGTCAGCGGATGAAAAGTCATAAGGATAGCTAATCACATTAGCAAAATTGTCTTGCCAAAGCTTTAAAAACTGATAGATCTAAATCTTGTTATTGGGCACTTCGAATCACGTTTACTTTCAAAAAAATTCCCTCTGGATAACCTTGAAAAAGCTGCCAAAAATCATTTATAGCAAGTGAACAGCAAGCTGAAGCTGATGCAGCAGGAGTTGAAGCTGCCGGAGAACGAGGGCTCCCGTGAACAGCAAGAAGTTAGCTACAGCCTGAAGAAGGACAAATGCGGGGACCTGGATGAGATTGAGGACGTGGGTTCCACTCTAGATATTCCTAAGAATTAGCCAATATTCACCCCTTCTTCCTTCCAGATTTTCCGCTACAAGAACACTGTCAACTGTGCCCCGGAGAGTCAGGAGACGGACAAGCAGCTGCGGAAACTTTTCCGGCGCGCCAAGCGTAGCGCTGAGCAGCAGCGAGGTAATCTGGAAGCCTTGTGCACGGCTATGTTTCTTTTCAGAGCTGTCCCACCACCTCTACAGCATCAACCAGCCGGAAGCGCTTCGGTATATGCAAGAAATCCATCGAAGCCTGGATGAGCACGAGAAGGCACAGTTGAGTGGTGGTAGGTTATTTTGATAGAAAGTGGCAGCGGAGTGAATAGTGACTTATCTTAAAACCCTCGAAACAGTTGTTACAAGCCTATTGACCTATTAAAATTCATGTTTTCAGTGTCTCCCACCACAGTCGACAACATTTTCGACAATGCCACCCAACACGTTAGCGATCGCATTAAGAGAGCCATTGAGCACCGGACGCATCCGTTGTTCAGGTAATTTTGCGTAGCGGACACTAACGTAATAAAGCGTAGGAAGACGTAGCTTTTCTAAAAGACCCCCGTAGCGACACACAACACATTCACTTTTTCATTACGTGTACTTTGCTATCCATTACCAGCAGAAAATAAGATATCGTGCTACTTGCCGAACTAGAGTAAAAAATCATAAGGAATCCAAAGTTCTACTTCACCTAGTTGTATGCCGCAAGTCGTCATGGCGGCGTCGCGTCTTCACCAGGACGAGGTGAACAACTACTTACAGCTGATCAACACTAACACAATTCAAATTGTAAGTGACAATACGAGCAGCACAAGCTCACGGTCTTGCCTAGATCGAGTTGGCGATGCTCTGCTACCCGATCTTGCTGCCGACCGTCGACCCGGAGCCCCGGCTGGAGGCGCTGAAGAAGCGGATGCAAGATACGATTGGCACAGTGGCCGACATGGTCAATAAGGGCATGGTATATTTTTCGGATCTTTTTCGAATGGCATCCTAAAAACTAAGAGAATACTAAAATGCCGACAATAGTTTTTCCCGCGTTATCCTATGCACTGTTTTCAATCGTAGTTTTTGTGCTAAAAAAAAGCTTTTATAATACATTTTTTCTTGGTCAAAATAATTCTCTTAAAATATTTTTCGAGGCTCTATTGTTTGGTATTGTGAAAATATAAAAAAACCTTAAAAGTTTGGCTCCCCTTCCTCCTGTATCCTAAATAACTCAAAAACTTCATGATTTCAGAACGCCTTCGAGGATTTTGAGGGACAGCTGATTCAGGAGGTGTTGAGTGAACATAAGGGTGGAACTAAGGATCAGTTGCTGACGGCGCTCCGCGACGGCATGGACAAACACGGGCCGGAAGGGTGAGCGGCTTAGACAAGCTTAGAACAAGCCGAAAAATTGTGGAAATTGCGAAACGGAAAAACGCCCATCTTCCAGAATCCAGCGCGTCTACCTGGTACACGAGGGCGCTAAAAACGCGACGCTGTTTGGGTGCCCGAAGCAGAGCTGTGGCTGGAAGCGTCAGGACAAGTATCTGGTGATGTCGATCCGATACCCGGCCATCCCCTACAAGCACAACAACGAGAACTTCCAGCTGGCCGCCCACTCGCTGGAGCGGCGCATGGCTGTGCTTGACGTGTGAGGGATTGAGATATGGTGATCACGTCTGCTCACCCTTTTTTCAGCATGCAAGGCAACGAGGATTACCTGGATGTCCTAGAGGTGCGCCTGGCTCAGGCCGGGTTCCACCTCACCAACCAGAACATCAACGCCTGGCTGATCTTCCGGGGTGGCGAGGGCCATCTGACCAAATTTACGCAGATCCTCGAGCCGGGTGAGTATATTCCGCGACAAATAAGGAAAATTGCTTAGGGCAAAAGCAACCGGCCGAGGTCACCGGTAGCGGATGGCAGCTCGCCTCCGGACACTACTTCAGCCACCGCAAGGATACCATGGCTGTCGTGTTTCCGGCCTCATTGGCTCGATAAAGCCCCTTAAAATTTATGATGTTAAAATAAACTCTTCGAGCAGCGATTGTGATTAGTTTATGTTTTGCAGAAAAGGGATTCCGTGATTTGGCCACGTTCCATAGGTATTAGAGTCCCAAAACGATAAGAAATCGCTGTATATTGCTGGCGATAAGAAAGAAATCAGATTGAATTTTTTGAATTGATTGAATGCATTTTTTTAACCCGCGCTCATAGATGTTTCGTAGACGCTAGCAATCGTTTAGTTGAATGAGGAAACGTTCGTGAATACGAATGTAATGTGTCCCCCGCGAGGTCGTCAGCAGTTCAGTTTGGGTCTACAACTTAAAAGCACACCAAAGTGTCAAAGCAAAGCCTTTTTCGGAGGGCTCTTGGATTTTGGTTGGCAGATCTCTTTCGATTTTGGCGCGAAACGGTTTTTGCCCGAAATCCTTGTAAAAACACTAGAATTACTAGATTCTGAGCTGATTATTGAAGTCCTCGCTCAATTTTAAATAGTTTCGATTTTTGAATTATCGAATTCGGCCCAGAAACGGATTTGGAGGTGACCTCAGGAAATTTCAAAATCACGAGCATCCCGCACTGTTTACGTACAGAGGCCTACGACGTACAGGGCTCCGCTTTCGTGGCCGCAACTCAGTTTTTGGCACTTCGGGACACCTTTAAGAAACGCTCAGCAGTTTCTCCCATCAGCTACGGCTCTTCGATGTATCAGGTTCCGCACGATCCCCTTTTTGTGTGTTTTTTGCCTTTTTTTTAATGCTGTTTGTTTCGATGTTATCCGTGACTTTATTTAGGGTCAGCGTTTGGAGCTATAGGATACGGTGCGTCATTTTCCATATAATACTGTAGATAGAATCACGAACTGGCTTTGGATTAGCAATCCAATATCTGGAGGGCCCCCGCGTCAAAATGGAATATTAACCAACCCAGCTATATAAACGCCAAGAATAACGCCACATCACCTCTATAACCGACTGAAAAATTTCCCCATGTCTGTCCTTTTTTCGGTGGTTTTTTTAAATTCCCTGCTCACGAATTCTTGGCCTCTTAGCTCTCTAAGAAAACCTTCAACATAGGCTTTCAGGCAATGCGACTCACCCACTGGGTTTTTCTCGTGTTCATGGCGACACTTCTCTGTGGCCTCGCATCGCGTCGCCAAGACGAGGCTAACTCTCAACTCGCGCCGGCGAAACCAACGGACATGTGGCGGCGTCAGAAACGGTTTCTTCCATTTCTCTTTGGTAAGTTCGGTACAAAAGGATAACGGGGAAGAATAAAATAACTGGGAATAAAATAACCACTTCGAATTCCGAAAACTTAGCGCTACGTGCCTATTGGGTGTTGAGATAACTTCGGCATACAGGGTTTCGCTGTTCGCCCCCGTAATTCAAGTTCCGATGCATTTCCTCTCCGCATGGAGGCCTCCTTCTAATTGCCTCCGGTTCCAATTCATACATTTTCAGCCTGGGGCGCCAAAAAGGCGTACGATGCCGTGGCCCCTACGGCTGCTTCTGCCATCAACGCTGTCGCCGAATACGTTGGCGATTTCGCAAAAAGTGGCTACGAGATGGCTAAAGACATTGGTTCCGGGGCTCTGGATCTCGCTAAAACTGGCGTACACTATACTCTCCAGGGTATTCATAAGATGGCGGAGTTTGTGCTGCCGCAATGGGTATTTAAGGTGTGGTTTTAAAAAAAACTGAAGAAAAGCTGATACCTCAGAGTTAAAACTTTTAAGCATCGATGTATTCAGGGACGTAGCGTAATACCGGCCCCGGGGCCCGGCCCCCGAAATCGGCCGGGGCCCGAGAATTTCATAAGGACCCTTATGATTTTTATTTTCTCAAAAATTTTGCTGCCTGCGGCGCTATTTTTCACGTTTTTACGGCTATTTGTAGAGCTATGTAACTTTTTTTCAAAAATTTTTGCCTGCGGCGCTGTTTACTCGTTAATCTTTTGAGTTTTTGGAACAATTTTTTTGGCGCCCCCCGAAATTTTTTCTGGCTACGCCCCTGGATGTATTGCTTTTCAAATTAGTCGGAAAAAGGTTCTGGCACCTGGCGACAACTTATTTTTTTAGTACGCGGTAGGACCGATGCTTAGCAAAGCGATGGATGTTCTTAAGCCAATGGCCGAACAAGTGAAACCAATTTTCACGGCACCGATTTCTCCAGAGGTGGGCCAAATCCTTTTGTGTGTGACAGTGAAATCATTTTCTTAGGACGGAGCAACGCAGGAAGCTATCGCCGCAGCCTCGGCGTTGGCCAAGATCGTGCAGCAGGGATTGGCGAGAATGAAAAATGATCTTCGGGAAATCAAGAACATGGTCCGCGAGGAGCTCTCGATCCAGGCCTACACGACCGTATCTTTTTTTGAGAAAATTAACTCATAAATGTCAAAACTCCACCGGCGCCCCCTCCCCTCCCCTTACTAATGTTCTTGCGCCTCGCTAGGGCCTGCAGCCGCAAACTTTGCTCGACACTTGATTTAAAATCCTTGCAGGACGTGCTCCAACCTCTGTTCCATCTGCAACAACGGATGCTTTACCTCAACGAGTCCCAGGACATTGCCGAGCGCCGGGCACTCGACGAGAATTTTCGCAAGTTGTGTGTCAGGCGTTTTGACAGGATTGTGCAGGTATGTCTGAAAAGGTGTCCGGTGAGCTTGTAAACCCGAACAAGGCAAGAAAGAGAGCACATCCATTTTAGCAATTCGAGAATCACATCTGGAGGTCGTGCCGGACACCCAAGGACTTTTATAAGCGCAAGAAGCGGTCGTCAGGCAAGCGTTTTTGTGAGTAGTTTTTCGTGAAACATATGATTCGAAATTCTACGCCAATGCCTTTCCCCGAAAACGAAATCTAGACCCGGCTTATCCACCATCCAACGGGACCCACATTCGGATGCGCCGGGATGATGAAGACCCGATCCTGTTCAGCTCGACGCCACAGTTAGTAAAAAAACAGGCTCACTATCCTTTGTAGATGCGTAACCATGACTGTGCTCCAAACCCGCGACTTCTCACAGAGAGCTCTCAACGTTTGGCTGGACTCGCTTAGATCGACGACTGCTTCAATTGTGAGGATTTTGTGGATGGCATTTTTTTTCGTTAGTTGAGCGTGGCTACCGTATGCATCCCGCACATTGTCGTGGACCAGGAGCTGATTGGCACATACCTCAAGCGGCTGCAGGACAAGTTGCAGCTCATGTTGCAGGGTGTTGATGAGATGCTGGACTTGGTGTTGGTGGGTTTTTTTTAACAAGATGGACTGTGGTGTGTGAGGTGCTCGAGTATCGACTGCATGGTGTGGTGCCTCGCAAACAAAAAAACTGTCCAAATTGGTTGTGACTGCGTTCGATACCAGTCAAGAGTTTTTGCCCCGGCCTCGGCTTGCATTCTTTGTGCAGACCGGAACAGACGCAGAGGAATAGTGTTCTGTAACCTCGATAATAAAGACAAACCCACCTTTCCTAGGCCAAAATGGATGCCTACGACAAGGATATCTTCCACCGCCGAATGCGCGCCTACACGGAGTTGGACACCGCCGAGCAGTGGCTGATGACGCTGAAGCACCAGTTTGACGACCTTGGGCGGGCCGGGTAAGCGTAGCTAGCAATGTAACGACCATCCGTTTTCAGCATCGACACCGCCTACATCGTGGCAGTCAGCGGGCGCTCAAATCATAGCGGCTACTACGCTAGCCAACAGCGGGATTTACCCCTACAAGGGGTTTCCACAGGGTGCAAGAGCTTTGTCTGGCGCAGCCCGACGAATCGATGGTCGCACGAATGGGACACGTTGGTCCAGACGGAAGTGGAGAAATTGAGGTATCGGTTTTGACAGCACGGCATTAAAGGGATGGCGCAAGCAGAAATCCAGGCGTCATTCCACTTTCATAACTTCCGCACTCGCGACTGTAAAAAGGCCCTTTCCCGCCCAAAACATCGCCTAAGGGCGCACGTTATCACATCTGCGCGCCTCAGCCTCTCATTACTGCGCCGATTTGCTGCTAAGGGCGGATTGGCGCGCGAATCCAACCAAATCTGGCAAAGTTCCAGGAATCCACGTAACCCATAGATTTCTGCTTGCGCTATCCCTTTAACGAAACATTCAGAGCCCGGTTTTCAAGAAATGACCCATGTTACTTCAGTTTTAGCCCACTTCGTTTTTTGTTAGCATTAACATAACAAAGCCCTTACGTCAGCCTAATCTACATGATTACCTTCAGGACCGCGCTTGAGAAAAACAAGGACATAGCGCACAAGGATGTGGAAGCTATTCTCACCGGCGAGCTGCTTCGAACCTTCCCCAACTTTATCCTGTCCTGGGCGCCAAGGGATTCGCCGCAACCCCTCGCGGTGATGGAGGCCGGTATGTAAAAATATCTTGTGTATTGGTATGCAGTTGAAGTGCTTGGGAAGCCGTGCTGAGTACCGTTAATAAACGTCATAAGCTTATTGATACAAACAACAAACGTGACGGAAGTTTAGAGGATCAAGTAGACATCGATCAAAAGAGGGAATCCCGAGAGCAGTAACCATTACGACATGTAATGGCAAGCTGCTGTTTCATGTCCGAGGGGTACGGTAGCAAGGGCACGCTATAAGATTGGGAGCCTTTCGCAACGTTATCTATTATGATCATGACCATTGATATACGTATACTTTCCAGGGCAGGAAGTGCTCGGCAGCTACGACATCTCCACACACCAATACCTATTTGACACCCAGAACGCGTCGATCATCTACAGTCTGCTTCTTCTTCACCCTTACCCGCCAAAATAATGTGGAGAATGTGGAATAAAATATTTGTTGTGGCGTTTAAGGTGGTAAACTAAGGATTTGACGCCCACGAGTATTATGTGGCTATTTCGCTTTGAAGATCAACAAACCATTTTAACTTCTACACCGTATTCTTTGCTATCGGGGTAACTTCAGCGTTTTGCTGCCACATTAAAAAGCAATAACGGGCAATACAGCCATCATAATTGAATATTCATGGCTTAGCTATTTCAAGCCCGAAATGCGCCGTCATCATAAAACATCATATGAGTTTTGCCGAGTTTTGCGGTTTACTGTAATTCTTTGTAAAGCTTCAGAATTTTTCAGGCAATGCGCCTCAACCACTGGGTATTTCTGGTTTTCCTTGCCTTGACGCTGGGCCACGCCGCCTCCTACCGCAAAGAAAACCCCGGCCCAAACCCACGCTTGGTCCCGGATCGCCATTTGAAAATCCGTAAGTGGGCGCCTGACACCCCTAAACACAAGGAGATCCAAAAATTACCCCCGCTTCAATTCAATTTTCGGGATGGGAATGATTTTTATACAATTCGAAAGCTCTCGAAAGGCGAGAAAATGCGTACTTCGCGTTTATCCACATTTTTTAGCTCTCGGCTAGATATCGACGCCCTCTTAAAAAGGGTCACCTCAGCTGCTGATTTTGAGTAAATCTGCAGTTTTCAGGGGATTTGGTCCTAAAATTGGTAATAGAATGAGCTTAAATTGAAAAACGAAAAGCGCTTGTTTTCTCGCCGTCCCGAGAGCTTTCGGTAGATACGTAAATCGGACACGCTAGAGGAGTCGTTTTTTTGAGACACCCTGGAGTTAAAAGGCCGTTTGCGAGTCATCCGAACAAGGCTTGGCACAGTTTTTTTCGACCCCGTTTTTTCGACGCCATGTGAAAGAGCATGGTCGAATTAGTAGGGCTGCATAGTTTTGAAAGTTTAAAAAGTTTAATTTTGGTGCTTAAATGGCCCTTAAAGTTGCGTACCCCAAAAAATTATCTCGGAGCTCACTGGGCCAAACTGCATGAAACCTCGGGACAATACCTAATTTGACGAAAATGACAGGAACATAGGAATATCGCGTAGTCAAAACAGTTTTTTCCGGGTTTTCGTCATGATGGAAAGTTTGCTGTAAGCTGAAAGTTATATCAAAAGATGCGCAAAAAATTTCTGCATCGAATGGTGTATTTATTAGGATGCAGCAAGTTTTCCATCATGTCGAAAAATTTGATATACTAAGACTCAGGTACAAAAATTCGAAAGTTGCAAATATAAAAAACGTTGCCTGGTTTCTAGAGACGAAATCAGACCGATCGCAAAAAAGAGCAAAAAGAAATTCGGCTTCTGAGAGGGGGCTGGGATTGAACTCGGGTCGTTCGCGTGGGACCTGGCGGCGCCCACTAGTCCCCGTCCCCCGTGCGCCCTAGGCGGACCATCGCGGGTTCGATCCCGCAAATCGCCAGTTCCGCGTAGGAAGGGAATTTCTTTTTGCTTTTTTTGCTTTTGGTTTTGGCTAGTTTTTATATGGGGCTCTATTTACTTATGTTGACAAAGAAGTTTTCTTATACATTTTGAGATGGTTTCTCTCGATTCTAGAAAAGCTAATTTTTCGACATGATGGAAAACTGGCTGCATCCTAAAAAAGACACCATTCGATGCAGAAATTTTTTGCGCATCTTTTGATATAACTTTCAGCTTACAGCAAACTTTCCATCATGACGAGAACCCGGAAAAGCTGTTTTGACTACGCGATATTCCTATGTTCCTGTCATTTTCGTGCTTTGCAATGTATTACAAAAATGATCAGCGCCTCAAATTAGGTATTGTCCCGAGGTTTCATGCAGTTCGGCCCAGTGAGCTCCGAGATAGTTTTTCGGGGTAGGCAACTTTAACGGCAATTTAAGCCCCAAAATTAAACTTTTTAAACTTTCAAAACTATGCAGCCCTACTAATTCGACCATGCTCTTTCACATGGCGTCGAAAAAACGGGGTCGAAAAAAACTGTGCCAAGCCATAATGGGGACTGTTCGAGTGACCCGCGGACGGCCTTTTAAGGTCATTGGGGACGTGATTGGTGCACCGTTTTTAGCCATTCTTCGAACTTCGAACGAACTTGCTCTTATTCAGCTCCCTTGGCCGCCCTCGTCCCCGCCCTGATCGGACCAGTCGTTGCGGGCCTAAAGACGGTGGCCGTGGCCGCTGCTCCCTTTCTGGCGAAGGCCGTCGCCATTGTGCCCCGGCTTGCGACAGCGGCCCGATTTCTGACCACGATCGGAAGTCGCGCGCTCAATCTGGCCAGAAGTTCGAGGCTTGTTCGAGGCCTCTGGAAGATTGGCAAAGACCTGCTGCCGGATCTCTTCAGTGGAGGTTCCCCGTCGTACAGCGAGGATGACTTTAAGAACCCGATGACCGTCTTTAGGGTAGGCCCTTTGTCTCTTTTCGATTCCGACTTTTGCTTTCAGACGTTTGCGAGGAAAATGCTTGGCAATTCGGCAGCAATTTTGACCCCCGTGGCTGAGGGGATGAAGCCGTTCTACACAGCCGATGTCTCGCAAAAGGTGCATTGCGCATTTCGATGAGGCCTTTCAGTTCTCTCTGATCCTTTCAGAAGGGCGTCTCCCCAGTTCTCGCCGCTACTTCGGCCCTGGCCGAAATTATTCACAATGGGTTGGATCGGCTGAAGGATGACCTGCGCGAGTTGAAGAACATGGTTTCCGAGGAGCTCTCCATTCAGGCTTATACGACTGTAGGTATCTAGGAGCTAAAAGGTGTCCCTCAGATGGACGTTTTTGCGGTTTTCTGCATCTCGCAGGCCTTGGGACCAAAACTAAACAAAATCACTCTTTTTTTCCGAGTCTTTTTAGGAGGTGCTCCAACCGCTCTTCCACCTCCAGCAGCGGATGCTGTTCCTGAATGACTCGCGCGATATCGCCGAGCGTCGGGCCCTGGACGAGAACTTTCGGCAGCTGTGCCTTGACCGCTTTGAAGCGGTGGTGCATGTAGGGAAAAATAGTTATAGTTAAGCTAAAATTAGCTTTTTAGCCAGTGCAATTACAGGGCGGTATTTTCAGCGATTCGAGCAGCACATCGTGCGCGGGTGCAATATGCCGGGTTCCGAGGGAAAACGGAAAAAGCGAGAGACAGGTCGGGTTCTTTGCGACTCAAAATATCACAAAATTGAAATGATCAAAATGGAGTTAAAAATAGGCAACCAATTATTAATAGATGAGCAGAAAAACTCTAGCGCACAAAATCGCACCCGTCGCGATGCCTCCGATTCAACTGGGGTGATACCGCAGTAAGTTCACACAGAAAAAAAACAAATAAAATTTTGTCCGTCGCTAATCTTCGGCTGACAAATAAAAAGCTACGTTTCTCATATTAACCCTAGATGCGCGACAATGACGGTCCTGAAATCGCGAGATTTTTCGAAGAAAGCCCTAAACGTCTGGCTCGATTCAATTCGCTCGACGACCGCTTCGATGGTGAGTGATTTTCATGTTTACAATCCCCTAGCGTTACTGACAAACAGGCCCGTAGCAGAACCGAAATTTCGGGGGCAAAATTTTGGCGACCTCCCCCCTTCATATAAGTAAAAACTGGTTGAAAAACAGTAATAAACAGCGCCGCAGGCAGACAAATTTTTCTAACTAAAAATCATAAGGGTCCCCCTTTATGAATTTTTCGGACCTCGACCAATTTCGGGGGGCAGGGCCGCCTGGGCCCCCCCCCCCCACGGGCCTGCTGACAAGTGATGCCCAAGCTTCAAAAGCTATTGGCTCATCTACTAAAACATATATTTAGCTAAACACGGCCGCAATTTGCTACTCGCACACCGTGGCCGATGACGCGTTGATCGGGAAAACGCTGGAGAAGCTGCAGGAGCGATTCAAGTCGATGATGACCGATCTGCATGAGATGCTCGAAAAGGCGATGGTATGATTTTTGCCTTAAAGGTACACTAAAGTCTCGTTGGTTGGGTTACAGGCCGGTAACCGGCCGCGGGATAGCAAACAAGGTTAAGGCCCCTCCCCCCCCCCCCCCCCCCCCCCCCCCCCCCCCCCCCCCCCCCCCCCCCCCCCCCCCCCCCCCCCAAAACCCCCCCCCCAACCTGGTAGGCGCTCGCCGCGGAGCAAAACCGAACCCTGACTGCCAGCCTGGGGCAGCGCCTTGAACCACTAGGCCAAGGGACGGACGGGAGGGGGGAAGGGGAGAGGCGATAAGAAGGGGCTACCTTTGCCGTTTTTCAGGCCAAAACAAAAGACTACGACAGCGCCGTGTTCGCACGCCGTATGCGCAGCTTCAACGAGTTGGACACGGCGCCGGAGTGGCTGAACAAGCTGAAGTGGCAATTCGACGATATTGGACCGTACGAGTAAGTGATCTAGCCTTATTTAAAGTGCGACCATCGGTTTGTCGGGTTCAATGATCAAACAAAAAATGACAAACACGGCGGGCGTGGCTATGTTTCTGAAATCCTCTATTTTTAGTACTGATACCGCCTACATCGTCGCGGTAAAGGGACGCACGAACCACACCGGCTATTGGGCCAGCCTAGAACGCGAAGTGCCGCTGCAAGAGGACACCAAACTGTGCAAGAGCTTCGTCTGGCGCAACCCGACAAACCGATGGTCGCACGATTGGGATGAGACCGTCCAAAAGACGGTTGAGATGCTGAAGTAAGGTTCTAACAGTAAGCTGACGGCTTAACGGGTACAGGGTGTCCCAAAAAAAGTCGACCCATTTAGCGGTCGGAGAAAGATCTGGAGAATTTTTACACCATTGGAAAGCCCTGAAAACGGCGAGTTTGCATCAAATACCAAAAACCATGTTTTGTTTAAACTAGCTAATTTACAAGCAATTTTTGTAAAATTTTGCCGTTTTTCAGGGTCGTTTGCTAATTTGCATCAAGTTGCTAACGAAAAATGACCGGAGGTTGTCGTTAGTTAGATGCAGAGGCCGTCTTTCAAAACCGTCAAAACCGTCTAAAAACGCTAT